AGTTATTAATTTCAGGATCCAACGCTTCGAATTCTTGAATTTGAAAAAATAGGTTTGAAAGACTAGCATAATCTTTGAGCCCTGATAGCTCAGTCGGTGGAGCGTTGGACTTGTAATCCAAAGGACAAGAGTTCGAGGACCTTGTAGGGAGAAGTATCAATTCTTCTATTATATTTTTTGAAACAATCGAAATTCTTTGAAACGCCAGTTATTTTCCGAGTTTTCATGCTTGCTAAATAAGTTTCAGGCTCTCAAAAATAAACTTTTCTCATAGAACAAAGCTCGAATGATGCATAAAAAATCAACCGACACTTGTTATTGAGCTCTTGTGGCGCAATCGGCTAGAGCGTTCGGCTGTTAACCGAAAGATTGTTGAATCAAGCCAACCCAGGAGCGAGAACAGTAGATCCTCTAAATCAGAGATTGCTGCAAAAAATATGTACAGTAAGTTATTAATTTCAGGAGCCACAGCTTCGAATTCTTGAAATTGAAAAATTAGGTTTGTAAGACTAGTTGAATCTTTGAGCCCTGCTAGCTCAGTTGGTAGAGCGCTGGACTTTTAATCCAACGGTCAAGGGTTCGAGTCCATTGTGGGGCGAAGTAACATTTCTTCTTTTAATTTTTTTTGAAACAATCGAACTTCTTTGAAAGCGCCAGTTAATTTCAGAGTTTTTGTGAATGCTTAAAATGTTTCAGGCTGTCAAAAATAAACTTTTCTCATAGAACAAAGCTCGAATAATGCATAAAAAATCAACCGACACATGTTATCGAGCTCTTAAGGCGCAATCGGCTAGCGCTTTCGGCTGTTAACCGAAATGTTGGCTGTTCAAGCCCACTCAGGAGCGAGAACAGTAGAACCTCAAAATCAGAGATTGCTGCAAAAAATATGTACAGTAAGTTATTAATTTCAGGAGCCACAGCTTCGAATTCTTGAAATTGAAAAATTAAGTTTGTAAGACTAGCTGAATCTTTGAGCCCTGCTAGCTCAGTCGGTAGAGCGTTGGACTTTTAATCCAACGGTCAAGGGTTCGAGTCCCTTGTGGGGCGGAGTAACATTTATACAATTAATTTTTTTTGAAACACTCGAACTTCTTTGAAAACGCCAGTTAATCTCCGAGTTTTCATGAACGCTAAATAAGTTTCAGGCTCTCAAAAACAAACTTTTTTCATAGAACAAAGCTTGAATGATGCATAAAAAAATCAACCTACACAAGTTCTCGAGCTCTTGTGGCGCAATCGGCTAGCGCATTCGACTGTTAACCGAAAGATTGGTGGTTCAAGCCCACCCAGGAGCGAGAACAGTAGAACCTCAAAATCAGAGATTGCTGCAAAAAATATGTACACAAAGTTATTAATTTAAGGATCCAACGCTTCGAATTCTTGAATTTGAAAAAATAGGTTTGAAAGACTAGCATAATCTTTGAGCCCTGATAAAGAGTTCGAGGACCTTGTAGGGAGAAGTATCAATTCTTCTATTATATTTTTTGAAACAATCGAAATTCTTTGAAACGCCAGTTATTTTCCGAGTTTTCATGCTTGCTAAATAAGTTTCAGGCTCTCAAAAATAAACTTTTCTCATAGAACAAAGCTCGAATGATGCATAAAAAATCAACCGACACTTGTTATTGAGCTCTTGTGGCGCAATCGGCTAGAGCGTTCGGCTGTTAACCGAAAGATTGTTGGATCAAGCCAACCCAGGAGCGAGAACAGTAGATCCTCTAAATCAGAGATTGCTGCAAAAAATATGTACAGTAAGTTGTTAATTTCAGGATCTAACGCTTCGAATTCTTGAATTTGAAAAAATAGGTTTGAAAGACTAGCATAATCTTCCAGCCCTGATAGCTCAGTCGGTGGAGCGTTGTACTTGTAATCCAAAGGTCAAGAGTTCGAGGCCCTTGTAAGGAGAAGTATCAAATCTCCTTATAATTTGAAAAAATAGGTTTGAAAGACTAGCATAATCTTTGAGCCCTGATAGCTCAGTCGGTGGAGCGTTGGACTTGTAATCCAAAGTCTTTGAATTCTTGAACTTGAAAAAATAGGTTTGAAAGACTAGCAAAATCTACCAGCCCTGATAGCTCAGTCGGTGGAGCGTTGTACTTGTAATCCAAAGGACAAGAGTTCGAGGCACTTGTAGGGAGAAGTATCAATTCTTCTATTATACTTTTTGAAACAATCGCACTTCTTTGAAACGCCAGTTATTTTCCGAGTTTTCATGATTGCTTAATATGTTTCAGGCTCTCAAAAAAAAACTTTTCTCAAAGAACAAAGCTCGAATGATGCATAAAAAATCAACCGAAACATGTTATCGATCTCTTGTGGCGCAATCGAATAGCGCGTTCGGCTGTTAACCGAAAGGTTGGTGGTTCAAGCCCACCTAGGAGCGAGAACAGGAGAATCTCAAAATCAGAGAATGCTGCAAAAAATGTGTGCACTAAGTTATTTATTTCAGGATCCACATCTTCGAATTCTTGAATTCGAAAAATTAGGTTTGTAAGACTAGCTGCAGCTTTTAGCCCTGCTTGCTCAGTCGGTAGAGCGTTAGACTATTAATCCAACGGTGAAGGGTTCGAGTCCCTTGTGGTGCGAGGAATCATTTCCTCTATTAGTTTTTTTGAAACACTCGAACTTCTTTGAAAACGCCGGTAATTTTCCGAGTGTTCATAAATACTTAATAAGTTTCAGGATCTCAAAAATAAACTTTTCTCATAAAACAAAGCTCAAATGATGCATAAAAAAATCAACCTACACAATTTATCGAGCTCGTGTGGAGCAATCGGCTAGCGCTTTCGGCTGTTAACCGCAAGATTGGTGGTTCAAGCCCACCCAGGAGCGAGAACACTAGAAACTCAAAATCAGAGATTGCTGCAAAAAACATGTACACTAAGTTATTAATTTCAGGATCCAACGCTTCGAATTCTTGAATTTGAAAAAATATGTTTAAAATACTAGCATAATCTTTGAGCCCTGATAGCTCAGTCGGTACAGCGTTGGAATTTTAATCCAACGGTCAAGGGTTCGAGTCCATTGTGGGGCGAAGAAACCTTTCTTCTATTAATGTTTTTTGAAACAATCGAAATTCTTTGAACGCGCCAGTTATTTTCAGAGTTTTTGTGAATGCTAAATATGTTTCAGGCTCTCAAAAAAAACTTCTCTCAAAGAACAAAGCTCGAATGATGCATAAAAAATCAACCGACACATCTTATCGATCTCTTGTGGCGCAATCGGCTAGCGCTTTCGGCTGTTAACCGAAAGGTTGGTGGTTCAAGCCCACCCAGGAGCGAGAACAGGAGAATCTCAAAATCAGAGAATGCTGCAAAAAAGTATGTGCACTAAGTTATTAATTTCAGGATCCACAGCTATGAATTCTTGAGTTTGAAAAATTAGGTTTATAAGACTAGCTGATTCTTTGAGCCCGGCTAGAGCAGTCGGTAGAGCGTTGGACTATTAATCCAACGGTCAAGGGTTCGAGTCCATTGTGGGGCGAAGTAACATTTCTTCTTTTAATTTTTTTTGAAACAATCGAATTTCTTTGAAAGCGCCAGTTAATTTCAGAGTTTTTGTGAATGCTTAATATGTTTCAGGCTGTCAAAAATAAACTTTTCTCATAGAACAAAGCTCGAATGATGCATAAAAAATCAACCGATACATGTTATCGAGCTCTTGAGGCGCAATCGGCTAGCGCTTTCGGCTGTTAACCGAAATGTTGGTGGTTCAAGCCCACCCAGGAGCGAGAACAGGAGAATCTCAAAATCAGAGAATGCTGCAAAAAATGTGTGCACTAAGTTATTAATTTCAGGATCCACATCTTCGAATTCTTGAAATTGAAAAATTAGGTTTGTATGACTAGCTGCATCTTTTAGCCCTGCTTGCTCAGTCGGTAGAGCGTTAGACTATTAATCCAACGGTGAAGGGTTCGAGTCCCTTGTGGTGCGAGGAATCATTTCCTCTATTAGTTTTTTTGAAACACTCGAACTTCTTTGAAAACGCCGGTAATTTTCCGACTGTTCATAAATACTTAATAAGTTTCAGGATCTCAAAAATAAACTTTTCTCATAGAACAAAGCTCAAATGATGCATAAAAAAATCAACCTACACAATTTATCGAGCTCGTGTGGAGCAATCGGCTAGCGCTTTCGGCTGTTAACCACAAGATTGGTGGTTCAAGCCCACCCAGGAGCGAGAACACTAGAACCTCAAAATCAGAGATTGCTGCAAAAAACATGTACACTAAGTTATTAATTTCAGGATCCAACGCTTCGAATTCTTGAATTTGAAAAAATATGTTTAAAATACTAGCTCAATCTTTGAGCCCTGATAGCTCAGTCGGTACAGCGTTGCACTTTTAATCCAACGGTCAAGGGTTCGAGTCCATTGTGGGGCGAAGTAACCTTTCTTCTATTAATGTTTTTTGAAACAATCGAAATTCTTTGAACGCGCCAGTTATTTTCAGAGTTTTTGTGAATGCTAAATATGTTTCAGGCTCTCAAAAAAAACTTTTCTCAAAGAACAAAGCTCGAATGATGCATAAAAAATCAACTGACACATCTTATCGATCTCTTGTGGCGCAATCGGCTAGCGCGTTCGGCTGTTAACCGAAAGGTTGGTGGTTCAGGCCCACCCAGGAGCGAGAACAGGAGAATCTCAAAATCAGAGAATGCTGCAAAAAAATATGTGCACTAAGTTATTAATTTCAGGATCCACAGCTTTGAATTCTTGAATTTGAAAAATTAGGTTTGTAAGACTAGCTGATTCTTTGAGCCCTGCTAGATCAGTCGGTAGAGCGTTGGACTTTTAATCCTACGGTCAAGGGTTCGATTCCCTTGTGGGGCGAAGAATCATTTACTCTATTAGTTTTTTTGAAACACTCGAATTTCTTTGAAAACGCCAGTTATTTTCAGAGTTTTTGTGAATGCTTAATATGTTTCAGGCTCTCAAAAAAAAACTTTTCTCAAAGAACAAAGCTCGAATGATGCATAAAAAATCAACCGAAACATGTTATCGATCTCTTGTGGCGCAATCGAATAGCGCGTTCGGCTGATAACCGAAAGGTTGGTGGTTCAAGCCCACCCAGGATCGAGAACAAGAGAATCTCAAAATCAGAGAATGCTGCAAAAAATATGAGCACTAATTTATTAATTTCAGGATCCACAGCTTCGAATTCTTGAATTTGATGAATTTGAAAAATTAGGTTTGTAAGACTAGCTGCTTCTTTGAGCCCTCCTAGCTCAGTCGGTAGAGCGTTAGACTATTAATCCAACGGTGAAGGGTTCGAGTCCCTTGTGGTGCGAAGAATCATTTACTCTATTAGTTTTTTTTGAAACACTCGAACTTCTTTGAAAACGCCAGTTAATTTCCGAGTTTTCATGATTGCTTAATAAGTTTCAGGCTCTCAAAAATAAACTTTTCTCATAGAACAAAGCTCGAATGATGCATAGAAAAATCAACCTTCACAATTTATCGAGCTCTTGTGGCGCAATCGGCTAGCGCGTTCGACTTTCAACCGAAAGGTTGGTGGTTCAAGCTCACCCAGGAGCGAGAATATGAGAATCTCAAAATCAGAGAATGCTGCAAAAAAATATGTGCACTAATTTATTAATTTCAGCATCCAACGCTTCGAATTCTTGAATTTGATGAATTTGAAAAATTAGGTTTGTAAGACTAGCTGCTTCTTTGAGCCCTCCTAGCTCAGTCGGTAGAGCGTTAGACTATTAATCCAACGGTGAAGGGTTCGAGTCCCTTGTGGTGCGAAGAATCATTTACTCTATTAGTTTTTTTTGAAACACTCGAACTTCTTTGAAAACGCCAGTTAATTTCCGAGTTTTCATGATTGCTTAATAAGTTTCAGGCTCTCAAAAATAAACTTTTCTCATAGAACAAAGCTCGAATGATGCATAGAAAAATCAACCTTCACAATTTATCGAGCTCTTGTGGCGCAATCGGCTAGCGCGTTCGACTTTCAACCGAAAGGTTGATGGTTCAAGCCCACCCAGGATCGAGAACAAGAGAATCTCAAAATCAGAGAATGCTGCAAAAAATATGAGCACTAATTTATTAATTTCAGGATCCACAGCTTCGAATTCTTGAATTTGATGAATTTGAAAAATTAGGTTTGTAAGACTAGCTGCTTCTTTGAGCCCTCCTAGCTCAGTCGGTAGAGCGTTAGACTATTAATCCAACGGTGAAGGGTTCGAGTCCCTTGTGGTGCGAAGAATCATTTACTCTATTAGTTTTTTTTGAAACACTCGAACTTCTTTGAAAACGCCAGTTAATTTCCGAGTTTTCATGATTGCTTAATATGTTTCAGGCTCTCAAAAATAAACTTTTCTCATAGAACAAAGTTGGAATGATGCATAAAAAAATCAACCTACACAATTTATCGAGCTCATGTGGAGCAATCGGCTAGCGCGTTCGGCTGTTAACCGAAAGATTGGTGGTTCAAGCCCACCCAGGAGCGAGAATATGAAAATCTGAAAATTAGAGATTGCTGCAAAAAATGTGTGCACTAAGTTGTTAATTTCAGAATCCACAGCTTCGAATTCTTGAATTTGATAAATTAGGTTTGTAAGACTAGCTGAATCTTTGAGCCCTGCTAGCTCAGTCGGTAGAGCGGTCGACTATTAATCCAACGGTGAAGGGTTCGAGTCCCTTGTGGTGCGAGGAAGCGTTTCCTCTATTAGTTTTTTTGAAACACTCGAACTTCTTTGAAAAGGCCGGTAATTTTCCGAGTTTTCATAAATACTTAATAAGTTTCAGGCTCTCAAAAATAAACTTTTCTGATAGAACAAAGCTCAAAAGATGCATAAAAAAATCAACCTACACAATTTATCGAGCTCGTGTGGAGCAATCGGCTAGCGCTTTCGGCTGTTAACCGCAAGATTGGTGGATCAAGCCCACCCAGGAGCGAGAACACTAGAACCTCAAAATCAGAGATTGCTGCAAAAAACATGTACACTAAGTTATTAATTTCAGGATCCAACGCTTCGAATTCTTGAATTTGAAAAAAAAAAAGTTTGAAATACTAGCATAATCTTTGAGCCCTGATAGCTCAGTCGGTAGAGCGTTGGACTTTTAATCCAACGGTCAAGGGTTCGAGTCCCTAGTGGGGCGAAGTAACCTTTCTTCTATTAATGTTTTTTGAAACAATCGAAATTCTTTGAAAGCGCCAGTTATTTTCAGAGTTCTTGTGAATGCTTAATATGTTTCAGGCTCTCAACAAAAAACTTTTCTCAAAGAACAAAGCTCGAATGATGCATAAAAAATCAACCGAAACATGTTATCGATCTCTTGTGGCGCAATCGAATAGCGCGTTCGGCTGTTAACCGAAAGGTTGGTGGTTCAAGCCCACCTAGGAGCGAGAACAGGATAATCTCAAAATCAGAGAATGCTGCAAAAAAATATGTGCACTAATTTATTAATTTCAGGATCCACAGCTTCGAATTCTTGAATTTGATGAATTTGAAAAATTAGGTTTGTAAGACTAGCTGCTTCTTTGAGCCCTCCTAGCTCAGTCGGTAGAGCGTTAGACTATTAATCCAACGGTGAAGGGTTCGAGTCCCTTGTGGTGCGAAGAATCATTTACTCTATTAGTTTTTTTTTAAACACTCGAACTTCTTTGAAAACGCCAGTTAATTTCCGAGTTTTCATGAATACTTAATAAGTTTCAGGCTCTCAAAAATAAACTTTTCTCATAGAACAAAGCTCGAATGATGCATAAAAAAATCAACCTACACAATTTATCGAGCTCTTGTGGAGCAATCGGCTAGCGCGTTCGGCTGTTAACCGAAAGATTGGTGGTTCAAGCCCACCCAGGAGCGAGAACAGTAGAATCTCAAAATCAGAGATTGCTGCAAAAAATATGTACACTAAGTTATTAATTTCAGGATCCAACGCTTCGAATTCTTGAATTTGAAAAAATAGGTTTGAAAGACTAGCATAACCTTTGAGCCCTGATAGCTCAGTCGGTGGAGCGTTGGACTTATAATCCAAACGACAAGAGTTCGAGGCCCTTGTAGGGAGAAGTATCAATTCTTCTATTATATTTTTTGAAACAATCGCACTTCTTTGAAACGCCAGTTATTTTCCGAGTTTTCATGATTGCTTAATAAGTTTCAGGCTCTCAAAAATAAACCTTTCTCATAGAACAAAGCTCGAATGATGCATAAAAAATCAACCGACACATGTTATCGAGCTCTTGTGGAGCAATCGGCTTGCGCGTTCGACTGTTAACCGCAAGGTTGGTGGTTCAAGCCCACCCAGGAGCGAGAATATGAGAATCTGAAAATCAGAGATTGCTGCAAAAAATGTGTGCACTAAGTTGTTAATTTCAGAATCCACAGCTTCGAATTCTTGCATTTGATAAATTAGGTTTGTAAGACTAGCTGAATCTTTGAGCCCTGCTAGCTCAGTCGGTAGAGCGTTGGACTTTTAATCCAACGGTCAAGGGTTCGAGTCCCTTGTGGGGCGGTATAACATTTATTCATTAATTTTTTTTGAAACACTCGAACTTTTTTGAAAACGCCAGTTAAATTCCGAGTTTTCATGAACGCTTAATAAGTTTCAGGCTCTCAAAAACAAACTTTTTTCATAGAACAAAGCTTGAATGATACTTCTCGGTTGGTGGTTCAAGCTCACCCAGGAGCGAGAATATGAGAATCTCAAAATCAGAGATTGCTGCAAAAAAATATGTACACTAAGTTATTAATTTCAGGATCCAACGCTTCGAATTCTTGAATTTGAAAAAATAGGTTTGAAAGACTAGCATAACCTTTGAGCCCTGATAGCTCAGTCGGTGGAGCGTTGGACTTATAATCCAAACGACAAGAGTTCGAGACCCTTGTAGGGAGAAGTATCAATTCTTCTATTATATTTTTTGAAACAATCGCACTTCTTTGAAACGCCAGTTATTTTCCGAGTTTTCATGATTGCTTAATAAGTTTCAGGCTCTCAAAAATAAACCTTTCTCATAGAACAAAGCTCGAATGATGCATAAAAAATCAACCGACACATGTTATCGAGCTCTTGTGGAGCAATCGGCTAGCGCGTTCGACTGTTAACCGCAAGGTTGGTGGTTCAAGCCCACCCAGGAGCGAGAATATGAGAATCTGAAAATCAGAGATTGCTGCAAAAAATGTGTGCACTAAGTTGTTAATTTCAGAATCCACAGCTTCGAATTCTTGCATTTGATAAATTAGTTTTGTAAGACTAGCTGAATCTTTGAGCCCTGCTAGCTCAGTCGGTAGAGCGTTGGACTTTTAATCCAACGGTCAAGGGTTCGAGTCCCTTGTGGGGCGGTATAACATTTATTCATTAATTTTTTTTGAAACACTCGAACTTTTTTGAAAACGCCAGTTAAATTCCGAGTTTTCATGAACGCTTAATAAGTTTCAGGCTCTCAAAAACAAACTTTTTTCATAGAACAAAGCTTGAATGATGCATAAAAAAATCAACCTACACAAGATCTCAAGCTCTTGTGGCGCAATCGGCTAGCGCGTTCGACTGTTAACCGAAAGATTGGTGGTTCCAATCCACCCAGGAGCGAGAACAGTAGAAACTCAAAATCATAGATTGCTGCAGAAAATATGTACACTAAGTTATTAATTTCAGGATCCAACGCTTAGAGTTATTGAACTTGAAAAAATAGGTTTGAAAGACTAGCATAACCTTTGAGCCCTGAAAGCTCAGTCGGTGGAGCATTGGACTTGTAATCCAAAGGACAAGAGTTCGAGGCCCTTGTAGGGAGAAGTATCAATTCTTCTATTATATTTTTTGAAACAATCGCACTTCTTTGAAACGCCAGTTATTTTCCGAGTTTTCATGATTGCTTAATAAGTTTCAGGCTCTCAAAAATAAACTTTTCTCATAGAACAAAGCTCGAATGATGCATAGAAAAATCAACCTTCACAATTTATCGAGCTTTTGTGGCGCAATCGGCTAGCGCGTTCGACTTTCAACCGAAAGGTTGGTGGTTCAAGCTCACCCAGGAGCGAGAATATGAGAATCTCAAAATCAGAGAATGCTGCAAAAAAATATGTGCACTAATTTATTAATTTCAGGATCCACAGCTTCGAATTCTTGAA